ACACCTGAAATTGAGAGAACCGCCATTATTCAGGAGAGCTAATATTTTGTAAGCTATGAGTTGTTGCATTCTGTTCGCAAATAAAAACTTCACCTCTTTCAGGATAGGCTTACAATTGTTACGAGTTGCGATCGGAATTATAACTCTAGAACAACCGGAAGAAGTGATTCCTGTGGCCTATGGCGGCAGAACAAACCGGTGTGAACCAAAGAGAAAATTGTGTCTTCACCTGGTAATTCTGAAACGGAACAAAAGCATCGATGTCATCTTTGACTCAGAAAGGAAACCTCTGTGGCACAGTTCGTGTTCTTAACTCTTACGCTTGCCTAATGAGCTGTACCTGCAAGTGATGTGTCTATTTTGTACTTCATTACCCTCGGCTTCTTTATCCGTAACAAATGTTATTACTGCTATAATGACACAGCGCAGACGACTGAGTGATTTCATTACACATCGTTTGCGTTGTCACCGTTAACGGTCTAGCAAAAGCGGATGGAAAAGGCACCAATAAAATAGTGGCGGAAAGAAGAAATTGTAGGAAGCGAAATAGTGAGAGAGTAGAGAATAAGAAGTAGAAAAGAATGAGGGGGAGGGAAACTACATAATAATAATAATAATAATAATAATAATAATAATATACACAAAACACAAATATCTTCTCATAGATATTGCAGTGTTATCAGATAAAATAGTAATTATTAAAACAATTCTGAGGGTGGGACAGTGACCCAGCCATGAAAACTATTTATGAATGTGACTCCAGGCCAAGTCTCAATATCTAACTGGTGTTGTCATCAGTAAAAGAATTGATGGACCTTTCTTCATTGATGGAAATACTTAACTTAAATATTAAATAGTTTTCACTTAAATAATTTAAGTAAAAACTATTTAAAACTGTCAGATAAAATATGTTTTAAAGCATATAACAAAAATAAATAAATACAAGATTCTTGAAATGGAAATGAGACACGTTAAAATAATTGTTATACTTTTTATCATTTGAGTCCTGGGTTCTATCAAAAATGGTAAGACAGCGAGAACATATACAAGATTCCTGGTAGCCTCTGTTTACAAGAATTTTTTTTAAAACATTGTCACTCTGTCGAACTAGTCTTATACTCAGAAGAATATGCATCGATGTAAAGCAAATATAAACAATGTGAAGTCTGACTTAACATCAAAATTCGTGCAATCGTAAAACGTTTAGTTCCAATCCTTATTTTAAATAAACAATTGTGGCACAAATCCAAAGGAGAAGTGGGGAGAGGTTGGTTTACATTAACTCTCCAAAACCTGACTAATAAGAATCACGATCCATTATCATTTAGTCATTCACCACAAGAACTCATTCATCACTATTCAATCCGTCATGTATCACAATACCACGTATTCACCGGGAACCTACAAAAATACCCATAATATAAAGATTTGATAACCTACAAATGTCATATTAACTAGGTAAACAAAAGAGTCTAGCTTAACCAGTGGAGTAGTCCGACAGAAAGCCCCTCCGTTGTGTCAAAAAGGAAAAATTTCTTTTTTAAGAAAATAAATTCTGGTCCCGTTCACACTAACCAAGCTCGTCAATTTTACCCACCTTTCGCTGAAATAAGAAAAGCTTTTTATCAGATCTGATCTGATTTTCATCTTCGGCTGATGCTCAAAAAATCCAACTTGATCCTGATGAGAATAACGTTCGTATTGTAAGATTCCTTCCATCCGCAACGTCCCCAATCCTTAGGGAAAAGAGTTAAGCCCAAAATAATATAAACTGGAAAATAGGGAGAGAGAGAGAGAGAAAGAATGGAAAACATTTTTCCTAGTAATGTTGAAGTAAAGAAAGGGCTATGTGGATTGTCTCACCCCTTACAAATTGGAACGATGCACCAAGAGTTTAGTTTTTTATCTATCGGAAATCTGGCATGAGGGTAAAGCAAATTAGGAAATGGCTTTATCTCTTTCTTGGAAAATTAGAAAAGCACATGTCATTGGCGAGAAGAGAGGTAGATGTGAATTATATTTTTGTTGGCGAAAAAGAATTTATAAATGAAAACAGGTAATGAACCCACTGCGAGGGTTAGGATTATGAAAATCGATCCTGTCGTAACAGGAAGGTGGTCTGGTTTATGTTTTCGCTAAAACGGCGAACAGCCAAAGATGAAGAACAGCGTGTCTCTTTGTTGAGAATTTATATTTTCGTTGACGAAAACAAAATGGGAAATTATTTATATTTATTGCTCGGAAGGATAAAATGAGAAGCAGTGGTCTGGTTTGTGTTCTCGCTGGACAGAGATAATAGTAGGGAAGTGGAATAAGTCAGACAATTGAACTTAATGAGGAGAATAAACTACGCCCTTTCACCTACGCACTTTTAAAAGACATTTTGCCATCCCTGATAAATGGTCAGAGTTAGAATAAAGAGAAGGAAGGAGTAAGAGGCAGAATTTAGCCCCGCCTCTATGGAGTGGTGGTGCGAGATGTGAAGTGAAGCTGGTTGGAGGAGCGATCCCTGTGACTACTCCCAAGGAATGTGGATAAATCTACAAATTTGGCAAGTTGATTAAAGCAGAAATAGGAACAAAGTAAACTGTTATTGGGATTAAATTGGGGGCTGGGGAATCACCGAATCCCTAGAATCCTTCGGCTTCACGCCAGTTTTGAGTCGAAGGGCATATAAACAGATGACTTTGTGGAGCTCAGGGACTTTGGTTTGAGAACGCGCATCGAGAGCCTCTGGAATCCACTTCAACTGCCACCAGATTTCATGATTCCAAGAGCCTTGAACCCAGCTCCTCCAGAAGTTTTGACAAGGTCCAGTGTCACTATAGATATTGATGCGGGTTCATTTTTGTTGTAGCAAGAGCTATATAAACCAAATGAATTTTAATCCCATAAATCTTTTGTCTTATTTTTTCGTCGTGAAGATATTTTTCTTCCTTAATGTAACCCTCGCCACGGTTTGAACCAACGCTACCATTACGACGACATTTGATCCTCCACTGCTCTGAGATCAAGAACACAACGTGGGCAGAGTTGGTGTGGATGGAAGTAGCCAGCGACCAACAACCAGCTTGGACCAACGTCAGCATTGACCAGCGCAGAGTTATCCCTGTGGTTAAAACGTCGTCTTAAGACCCTGAAAACCGGACCACTGCCGAAAGGCGCTACATTGATTGGTTCCAGTGAACAAGGATTTAACCCTGTTGGTAGGGGGTGTTATAGCTTTGTTACTGTTAATTTGCCCAGCATATGTTGTTTGCACGCTTTATACTATTCCCACCCCTCTCCGTTCTTATCTTTTTCTTGTAATTGTTTATTGCAAGTTTTATCAAATCTGTTGGATGGGCAGTTCCGACATTCATTTAGGTAACATGGCTACTCACTCCGTCGCTACTCACTCCGCAGTATAATTACTGTCTCCTCTTCCCCCTCCCCCCAGTTCTCGGGTAATGACCTAGTAAGGGATTGTATTAAAGAGAAAACAAACAAAAATTATTAATTAATAAATTAAGTACTACTACTATTAATAACAATGTCTTAATGCTACAGCGGGCTATGAATTCTCATGGCTTCAAATCTTGATTGAAGGCAGTGCTGGGATGCAGTAGGGTTTTGCACAGGTTCGTGCAAAACTGTTCTTGGAATTTTATGAGGTCAGTGAATCTGTTGCTAGCTGCAACCCGAACAAACAAACTGCTAATTTTAAATTGTCAACAAATTGTAGCCACATGATCGGTTGGGGATGTAAATTCAGGTGATCGAATAAAGGTTAATAGAAATTTCATGAACTGCTGATACTTGGAATATTCAAGAAATAGTTATTCTCTGAAAAGTTGCCAAAAAAAACAAAAAACAAAAAAAGAAAGCTGAAAGGCTTCAGTCAAATTTTTCATGAAAGAATTCCCATTAATGATTTTCGTGACTATGTGAAAAATGTCCTGAAAAACTTTCATAATCTTGTGGTTCTTCAAAGAGTACAAAAAGCGAAAATTATTATTAATACGATTGGCATCAGTTCTTCTGTGGCAGAAAGAGATTTTTCAAGAATAATATTATATATTCAGATAAAAGAAGCCAGCTTTCAGTGCAAAATGCAGCAAAGTTGATTACAATCAATCTTATTGGTCTCCCTTTAGATTAATGGGATGCCACCTCCTTTCGTTAAAACATGGCTTAGAAAAAAAAATCACAGTGCTGATGACAACAGAGTGAGGCAAAAAAGCAGAAAACTATGATGATAATCAAATTGCGATTTGGAATTTTTTTAAATGAATAAGAAGTTTTAAAGCATTTCTTTGAAGTATTTTCCCTTTTAAAATAATAACGTGCAATGTAATGCAGATTAATTTTAGTATTTTTGAATAAGTGCAAGAAAATTTGCTTTATTCCTAAATTATATTTCTATAATAAAGTATAGACTATGGAAAAATGAGAGAACCCTTTTCTATTGAGAACTGTTGTTGAGAGAACTCGTTCTTAAAATTTTTGAATCCCACCACTTGTTGGAGATTTTAAACATGTACATATGTTTCGGTGAATCAAGATGTGCTTTACTACAGATTTACTTGTCAATTGCCTGACCATAACCAGTTAGATATGTCCCCCCCAGGGACTGAAGCGCTGTACTTTTCTGTTCGTGGGTGGAACCCAGTTAAAAATTATAGAAAAAAAATTCAATCTATTTAAGTAGTATCACTAACATCTTAATTCTGTGCAAATGTATATTGGGCTTCGTATATTTATATCCCAGCATCAATTTGTTAGCGTGCTACTTTCCCAGTCAATAATAATAATAATAATAATAATAATCTGGCCAAAGAGAAGAAAAGAGAAACAAGAAAGAGAAATTGAGAAATAAGACAGAAAAATCATTAGAAGAGAATTTCAGATACACCGATTTATTTGTTGTTTTTGGTGCCTTTATCATGACTTTTTAGTTGTTCTGCTCTTCGACCTTCCTTGAGTATTTGTCATATTCATTAACGTTTCAGGAAATGTTCTCATCCTGTCACATCCGGTTTTCCTTCTGGAGAATTAAAAAAGTCGTAATTGTCAAAAGGATAGTAGTATATAGAAGAAGAAAAAGAAAGAAAAGGAGTATGGAATAGAAAAGAAGAAAGAAAGAGAAGAAAGAAAGAAAGAAAAGAGATGAAAAACAAAGTAAGAAAGGGAGGAGAGAGAAAAGAAGAAAGTGGGGAGAAAGAAGAAAAAGAATGGTAATAGAAAGTAAGAAAGAAAGAAGGGGAGAAGATGGAAACAAAGTAGAAAGTAGAGTAGAAAGAAAGAAAGAAAAAAGAAAGAAAATGGGTAGATTGAAAGAAAAGGAAAAGAAAGAAAGATAGATGTGGCACTATTGTGACACTCGTATTATGAAATTAGGATAATGTGTTCATGTGAAAACCCCGTATAGGAATTGAAGAGTTGGAAAGGTTAAAACGTTGAGAAAGTTAAGGTGAAAACATGAACTGAAATATGGATCAAGGGAAAAAAGAGAGATGTTTTTTTTCTTCCTTTCTGATAACCAGAAACACCGAACAGGATGTTGGATCCAAAATATGGGTTGAAAAATGTAAAATGATTTTAATCAGTCATATTGAAAAGTCGACAACAAAGATAATTCTTTGACGTCAAGGAGACAGAAAAGAATTTATAAATATAAAGTTTGTTGTCGAAGAATGCATTGTTTTGAATAAGTGACCGTTTTGTTTGAAGGTCAGTATCGGTTCTCCAAAATTGGAGAGATAATTAATGAATTGATATTAATATTAATGAATCTGGAGATGCGGTAGGAGTCGGGCGCTTAAGCAACTGAAAGGGCAGAAGGCACCAGAAGCCGACAGAAGGCAGGAGAAGCCGCAGAAGGAGGAAAAAGCCACGTGAAGTGCTGCCGATAGAATTCCCGACCTCTTTCTTTTTTTGTGAACCCGCTCCAAGTTTTAGGAGAAAAGGACGAATTGTCACGATAGGCATTTTAACTGGAAGGGTTAATTTTGTTGTATTAAAAACTATATAAACGAATTGAAAATAAACCTGGCGACCTTCTTCGTTATTTTGTTATGCCATTTTTATTTTCGCCAGCAGAAACGTTCTTTGTCCTTTTGTAGCACGGTTTCGCCGCGGTTCTACACAGCGTTCGAGTATGGACGAATTTCGATCTTCACTGCTCTGTGATCAAGGAACACAACGTGGGGTAGAAGAAGATGAAGGGGCGAAGCGGAAAGCAGATAACCATCAGTTGACAAGCGGCAGTACTGGAAAAGCGTGGGAAGCCGGACCAACCGTATTATATAGAAAGGGAGGAGAAAGACAGAAAGGGAGTAGAAAGAAAAGAAAGGGAGAAGAAAGGAAAAAGATGAAAGGAAAAAGAGAGAAAATGAGTAGGAAGAAAGAAAAAGAAAAAAAGAAAGGGAGTAGAAATAAATAAATAAATAAATAAAGGGGCAGAAAGATAAAAAAAAAGAGAAAAGAATCAAGGAAGGTGGTAGAACGAAAGCAAGAAGTTCAGAAGGTGAATAGAATGAATGAATGAAACAAATAGAGCACTGGAATCAAAAAGAAAAAAATTATGGGTAAAATGACCCAAAGACTAAGAGTTTAATACAATGTATGGGGAGTGGCCGAAGCGTAAAGGTAAAAATCGGGGTCGATCAGATGGCGTAGTCAGTTTCCATTGTCGCCTGAAGATTGATTGGTGCAAAGCGCTGTTTTGAAATGGACAATAAGAAATCGACACTCAATGACCGATGACCAAGTCCTTACTGGCCACAGGCCAGTTGGCGACCATATATATATGGGCGTTCTGTAAACCAGTTTTTTTTTTACACTTTTCCATACAAGAATGACGAGACGCCAAATCACTTTTCGACTTTTTAATGTGAACGCGCATGCGTAAATATCAGATGGCAAAGAAGGTGCGGGCTGCTTTTGTAGATGATTAAGAAAATACAGTGAATAAGAGGTAAGAAAGGAAATTGTTTCAATTAATATAACAAATCTTTTCAGGAGTTACAAAGTTACAGACGTCGTATGCCCGGGCTGCAGGACTGAAATGGAAGAGGTTGCTATTGGTCACCGGTTTGTGGCAGGACCAATGACGGTTTGTTCCGGATGAGGATGAAGACTTTCAAAGTAATTCAAGCTTTTCAAAAGAAATGAATTTAACATGTCGAGGAATTTTTACATAGAGAATACCAATTCAAGAAAAAAGAAAATATACTCTCGTGTACACAACCGAAAAGAAGAAACGCATTTATACGCTTTGCTGTTGGAAAATATGTGCGTGTGAGTGTCTGTGTGTGTGTGTGTGTGATGAGCCGAGTGGTTGAATTTTCAGCGAAGTAGTCGGCTGCCGGAAAAAAGAAGGCAACGAGACGCATCCTGTATTTACCGCAGGCTAGCGCGAAAAGAGAGAGAGAGAGAGAGAGAGAGAGAGAGAGAGAGAGAGAGAGAGAGAGAGAGAGAGAGAGAGAGATAGATAGATAGATAGATAGATAGATTCTCTTTTTATACTCCTGAATAGAACGTCACCTACGAAACAAAGTGGGCTAATACCGACACAGATCTTGACTTAATGCGATGGAGGGATGGATTGTTTGACAGTGAAACTATAGAATCGGTGAGACGGGTTCAAACTCTGGCTGAGTTCGCTGCATTTATACTTTTGGAAAAAATATGAATCCTTCTGTTATGCCCCACGTCCTTTCAGGGTGTGGGCGATCATGGCTCTTCACTATGTCCTGTGTTTTATTACTCTAAGTAACTTTTCCCTCTTTATCATTACTCTTTGATTTTATTCTCTCATCCATTCACATAAACTCGTTAAATAAGTTACTCGCTGTTTCCTACCGTTTCTCTTGTCTTCATTATGTCATGTGAATGATTCTCTTGGACCTTTTCCATCATTATTTATATGTAAATTTGTCTCGTTCTGGCTGTAAGTATCGTTTTCTTTGTCGCTTCTATTTCCCAGAAGGCCTTATAGTGGCCGCGGGGGGGGGGGGGCTTATGGGTTAAAATGAACGGTAGATTTACCCACGCCAAGAAGATTAATGGAAACAGATAGTGACGCGGAAACATACGGATAATTTTTAACAAAACAAGATAAATTTATTTACAATTAGTTGAAGACACAACTTGAAGTTGTGTCAGTAGCTCGTTTCAGGAAAATAAATCAGATATTTTTAAAGTCTTTAGTTTTAACGAATTATCATGAATAGGAAACGTTTATACAACAGATTAAATGATCTGACATGAAATAATATTCAAAAATGTTTAAAACAAAGGCAAGAGATTTTGTTGTTCACCGAAGGGATATATGGTTTGTTTACTTTCAAAAATAGAAGAAGAGAGTTTGAAATACTTAGCTTTCTTGGATTAGTGAAAGAAAATTCTTTGAAGTACCGTCTGCTTGGTTAAAGGTCGATAATATAATTGGAGAATAATTTTACACTGGCAAGAACTTGAACACTGGTCGCGAGGAACTGAATCGAAACCTATCACAAAAGTTGTTTCGCATAGGCTCACTACTTTCTTGTCTTTCTTCTTCATGGCTCAACGGCTAATTTCTGTGAAAGCAAGGTTTTCATTGGTCCAAAGAAAATTTCCCATGGGCTCACGAATTCCTTTCTGTCTTTTTCTCCCATTCCTCGTAACTTGAAGGGAGTGGGTAAAGGGAGTTATTATTATTATTTCATACGCACTACAGTCTTTTTATTGCTCACATATTCTCTCTATGGTATTCGTAGCATTAGTCGATACAATGTACGCCTGTCATTTCAAGTCTCTTCTTTATCTTTATTTATTTATTAGGTAATTGTCTAAAATTCACTAGAATGTCCGATATGACAGCAGTTCAACACACTTTTCTCTAGTTCTAATGAAAATCTTAGCTTTTTTTCTGATTGTTAACAGCCGTTTCCTCGTAATTCGTTTTTCTCCTTACAACTTCCTCGTTTCTCAAATGATCGAACCATGATATTCGCAACTGTAGTTGGTAGAACCACATACCTTTTGCTTCAACTCATTTTTTCATTTGCCAGGAGATTGTCCAATATTCATTGTCACAGAGAAGATTATATGTTACCTAGCAGTTTAGCACTCTTTTTTGCTCTAAAGACATTTTCCAATCTCTTAATGTTTGTTCTCCTCTATGAGTCAAATATCCGGCTGTACTGGGTTTTCTATCTTGGCTGGGTAACCAGTCTTGGAGAAAGGTAACTCTGAATTCAGAACTATGTAGAAAACAACGCGAAACACACTACTATAATTCTCAGGAACAAACATGTATTGTGGGAGTCAACACTTTTGTAGCGTGATGTGTACGTTTTACAGTAGATATTTAATGGCTCCAGGTATATTTGTCTCGCAAACAATATTTGGCGGACTCATGGGAGTCCAGGTGAAAAAAATAAACAAAAAATGTCTTTTAAACAAACAATTAATGCATGTATTAACAAGGAATGAAATTAATGTGTACACAGTTCAAAGGAAAGTAGAAAACATTAAAACCTTAGCTCTTAAGAATGTGTTTGCTTGTGTGGATGGTAGGCGTGTGCGTGTGTAAGAGTTCAGTCGTCAGTCAGTCAGCAGAGACGTCATCATCTACGTTTTGCTGCATCTTGGAGCAAGAGGAAGGAAATATTTGTCTTTCTATAGAACTTAAACAGTGCCACCTAATGGGCGTTTGGCGAAGCCAAGTGAGGTAACCCACACATAGTAATGTGCAGTTTATATAGATTACTCACACCCCGAAGGTACGTAGTACAGAAAGAAGGGCGCGATTTGACCCATTGTATTTATCTGTTTTCTTTGTTTGATCATAATGGTTTCCGCGTGTTTATATAATGATTATATAATGTATCGATTGTTATTTTGCAATCATATTGGCATCAACTGTTATCATGTCTTACAACTATACTAATACAGTTGTTATTTGCGCATACGTACAAACGTATAATTACTTAATAGACTTTAGTGTGTGTATATATATATATATCTATGTGTGTGTGTATGTATATATACATATATATATATATGTGTGTGTGTAAATAGACAAAACTTGTCTATATTATTTAATGAAACATGCATCAATGAAAAATTGCTGCCTAAATATACACAATATATATATATATATATATATATATATATATATATATACCATTGTGCATGTGTGTGTTCGGTGTATTTGAACAGCAATTGTTCTTTTAAACATGCATTTTTAAAAACAAGAGACATTTTGTGTCACGGTGCATTCGATTTAATTTTACAAAATAAAAACCCTTTCCCAAAATCACGAGCTTCTGTGAATGGATTGTCAAACAGAGACTAGGGGGGATCGTAAAATGACAAACAATGCTAAGAGTTACAAAGGATAGGAAGTTGTGGAGAGTCATGAACAACCTACCTAAAAAGCTTGTGTAAATAGATTGCAGAACAGGGAATGCTAAGGATTATCCTAGACACAAATTATGTCCCCAAAAATCATGTTTACCAGAAATTGTAACTTCCAATTAATATTTATTTCAATCTTTATATAATTTAATTGAAGCACATGTTTACGATTCCTCGGAAGATCGCAAAAGGTACCTAATGTGTTTCAGTAAAAAGAGAAAATGTTCTGCGAGGATGGAATTATGAAGTTGCCTAGAAAGATGATAGAAAACAGTCGAACAAAACTCTAAATATATTGTTCAATGTAGCTAATGTAATGTTTATATATATATATATATATATATATATATATATATATATATATATATATATAGATAATATTAGTGGAAAATATACATACATATGAAAAATATATCTAAAAAATTCCCATACATGTATATTTTCAGAAAAAATTTTCCAAGAGGAAGGATCCAGGTAGAACTCAATGTCTAGGACAGAGTAAGGATATAATAAAAAAGGCTTAAACACTAATATTCCATGGTCATAATTTATTCCATTGGAATCGTAAATACGATCCAAATCATCAGACCTACAAATTCAAAAATGAAAACAGAAAAAACAACTCCGGAAATCAAAACAGAATTTAGAGAAAGTAAATATATATATATATATATATATATATATATATACCGAAATTGTTCAGTTATTAGATTAAGCTTTGAACCGTTGTATCTTAGAAATGATTAAAGATATCTTACTGGAATTCGCAGAGGTTTTTACAATAATATTGGACTCTACTTTGAACAATAAGAATATATTTAGCTCTAAATTGCAATGATGATCTCTCTTGCTGTTGTGACATCCTGATCCAGTTTTCCTCATTATTGTCCCCTCTTTTTTAACCTTTTCACCGTTCTTTTGATGGTTCTTGAATGGACTTTTAAGATGAAAGCCAAGTGATGAATGTTGATACCATTACTGAAGGCCTGAATGATCTTTTTCCTCTCATCATTACTCATTTGAGAAGACATAGTGAGTCTGACACAAAACGATTTTAAACTGTTCTCTTTCTAGCTGAATAACTCAAAATGTTTTTCACCGATTCTTATGACAAATTGTGTTTAGATGGCTAAACGTCTTATCTGAAAACCTGGAAAGAAGCAACTGAATTAGCTTAGTAGTTTGTTTAGATATTAAACATTTTGTGGGCGGGGGGGAACAATTATTCCATGCTGTTACACGATTTGGACAATTTTGCTGTTACACCCGGTATATATATATATATATATATATATATATATATATATATATATATATATATATATTATTTATATATTTTTAATTTTTTTATAGAATCGTTGAAAAATGATTTTTTTAAAGTTTGAAATAAGTTTTCTTTCTTTCACTTGATTTATTGTAATGAGATGTAAGCAACCCAGGCTTGGGTCAGAACCTCACTCCACCAAGATAAGGCGCATTTCAATGGTGGACGTGTAAGTGAGCATTTCTATGCGCACGTATAGACGCATTTAACTACAGTTTTATTTTTATATATAAATTGTTTCCATTTATAAATTGTTATTTCAATGAAATGTAGCTGGTAGGCAAATTTTCCGAGAAAACACTTCGCAGAATACGTCTCGGTCATTAGACATCGACGAAATCAGTAAAAAATAAAATCAAAATTCAAATAAAATACACAACTATTTCTTACATTTTTCTGCGTTAAGAGCTTGCTCAAGTTTAAGATCGAACTGTACATGAACGTAATGCACTACTTTCTTTCTTTTTCTTTCACTTTCTCTTCTTAATTCTACTTTTTACTTTTATTCTTTCCTCTGCCTGTCCAATATTTAAAGTGTTACTCCGCGACACGATGTAGTTCTAATGATCGCTAATGATTCGTCACTTGTTCTTAAAACGCATTGTCTAATGCAGCAACAACACTATCATCCATAACAACTTCGACAGTGATCATAATGATAATAATACTAGAATTAACGATGATTTTTATTTTAATTATTATTTGAACATTATCAAATATTCAAAATTATTATTATTACAAGAACTATTCAATTTAACTTTTATAAACAATAAACCATATTTGAATTCAAACACGTAACTCTTCTGGATAAATTATGAGTTCAAATCTTTACCATAAAGCTTTATTTTCTATTACGTCATATTATTACTAGGTGTGTAAACAATATTGGTTATTTTTTCAGATTTTTCATTAGGTGCACATTAAATATGGCTCTTTCTAAGTGTGAATTTTAAACTGAAAGAATTAGTTTATTTACAATAATTTATTTTAAAAGATTAAGAGTTTAGAGAGGCTTGTTCAAAATATCCATTTGAGTGTGCAATACTACTACTACTACTACTACTACTAATAATAATAATAATAATAATAATAAAGTTATGTAGAAAATGTTCATGAAAAAGTAGGGACTTTCGTTAGTTGATAAAGTTAAAAATAGTCCTTGGTAGAGGGAGACAGCGAAAGTTCATGTGATGTTCTGACCTGTCCGGGATGTGAGGAGTACCGGATAAAAATCATCGTGGTAAGCTTGTTGAAGCTGGTACAGCCTTGTAAAATTATAGTAACATCGAGCGAATTCTCCTGTGCCGTCGGTGAAACTTAATGGATTTATTTCACATGTCCCAAATTGACGGCATTTAGTTTCGTATGACGCCCGTAGTTGTTGATTGGCCATATGGCATGTAGGGAATCCTCTTCTTGCACTCAACTGAAAAGGTTTACGATCTGCTTGGCCCCATTTGTTCTGATAAGCCATAAATGAAGAGCAACTTAACTGGCCGACGATCTTATTTTCGCGTCGGAGGTTTGAAAAACCTCTCTTTTCAAATTATCGCAGGTTACAAATTCCGCTCTGCTGATTGGTTAAAATTATCCAGATGATGAGTTTTCATCGCAATCTTTTTTTTTTAGAACATTCTTTTTACTATCCTACGCTAGACAGCATCGCCATCATCAGGCTTAGAATAAAGGCCTATTGAAAAAGTCGCGCCCAAACACCTCATTGGTTAATAAATGTATTCGGTTTAGGTAATGGTAATTAGTAGAAGGTTGTATTTTTTACGTACATTTTACAAAGATTAAGTGAAAGGGATACTTAAAATTATTTTAAATTTATTTTAATTAAAATTATTGACAATGCTTCATCTAAGAAATTCTGGCAACGTCTAAGTATTACGTCTTATTAATGCCGTAGTTACTGGTATAAAAGCGCAACAAAAATAAGAGGAATGATAAACAAATTAATAATGAGCCTGCTTCATTGAAGTAAGTTTTAATGTGTTTCATCATTTGTATTACTTAAAATTATCATCTTACAATGTTTCCATTTTTAAAAATCGCAACAAAAATTTACCGTAATGAAGATAAGTATAAATACCCTTTTTTTATGCAGTCTTCTATGAAATAAAATTTCAACTGAATAATCTTTGGATATTCTTTGGATCCGTTCTAAAATTTAATCATTTAGTGGATGAACGAAATAAAGGGTTTGGTTCGTAATTCCAATCACCTGAAAAAGGCCGGCGCATACAACAGCCGAAACGTCGTGAATATGGCAATAAAGATGAGGATAACAGTCCGAACATTTTAAATAGTCTAAGTAATTTGACGTATATGTTTAAGATATTCTGACAATCATACCACAGCCTGAATAAAATGCTGGCTGAAAAATATTAATTGATTATTAATTATACTGATTGATCTCTCTTCTTCTTCCTGCTGCTAACTGCATTTATGGCTGTTATTATTGGCTGTAATACACGAGAAGAAATAGGGTTGGATGTGACCTCACTCTGATAAAATATCTCCCTCGTTAATGAACACGCCATAGATTCTGGTTTAATGGACCGAAAGTTACTTTGAAGAATATTTTTAATTTCAAAGCCAATGTCGTTGACTAAACATACACTTTTTAGGAAACGTTTATAAAATTCACTTAATTACTTTAGAAAATTACTTCAAAATATGAAGAATTATTTTTTGCAATTTCATCTTTTTTTATACTTTCATATTGCACCCACCACAAAAACGGAATGTATCTAATTATTTATCTCATTTTGCTCGTCTCTCTCTCTCTCTCTCACGATATATATATATATATATATATAGAGAGAGAGAGAGAGAGAGGGGGAGATATCAGTTTGCGCATATCTATCTATCTATCTATCTATCTATCTATCTATCTATCTATATCTATATCTATATATATATATATATATATATATATATATATATATATATAAGTAAATGCACCTCTAAAATAATGTTTTAAAAATATCTTGTTTTCCAAATAATCAACAAATCCTAATTAAACTATATATTTATTAAGAAAAACCTTTATTAAACGAATTACAGCCACTTTCAAAAAATTTTATCAAGCTGAAATAAAAAAAATATTAATTAAAAATTAAGATGTGCAAAACTAAGTGAACCCTTACATTTAATATTTGGTGGCTCCTCCTCCTTTTGAGGTCATGATGTCGACCTGTTTTTTTCTATAATTTTTAAGAAGTTTCTGGCGGTAGTGAGTGTCAAGTTTTGACCATTCTTCTTCGAAAAATTCGCACAATTTCTCGATATTACCCGGGTTTCTTACATGTACTGCTTTCTTTAACTTGAGCCACAGATTTTAAATTGCGCTTAGATCAGAACTTTGACTAAACCCTTCCAAGACTTGAAATTTCTTTTTTTTCAAACCCATTCTTTTGAAGACTTACATTAATGCTTTGGATCACTGTCCTCTTGCCCCGAACTAACCTTAACTTTCAAACCTGAGGACAAAACGTTAACGTTCAAAATTGCTTGGTATTTTTAAGTGTCCATTGTGCTGTCAATGCGTACTATTCCAGTTGCAGCAAAGCACCACCAAATCATAATGCTGCCGTCGCCATGTTTAATTGTTGACACCAAATTCATCTCTTGAATATATATGTATTAGGACTTTCCCAGATATACCGCCTATCGTTCCTCCCCAAAATCTCTAGTTTGGTCTCATCCGATCATAAAAGCTTTTGCCAGAATGTTTCTACTTTATTAATATGAGCTTTGGCAGAGTTGAGCCAATATTGTTTTTGCTTTTTTGTAAGCAGTGGCCTTTTTGCTAGGCATTCTGCCATGAAGACCGGCATCATTCAGATTTCATCTCACTGTAGATGTGTGCACATTGATTCTAACATTAGCAAGAAAGTCTTGGAGAACCCCAGGTCACATCAGAACTTACTCTTACAGTTTTTCTTCACAGACAGCCATTTCTTATGATGCCGTCATACCAAAGACCTTCCATTTATAAATAATTTGTTGCACGGTGAAGGTGTGCATTCCAAATTGTTTTGATAGCTTTTTCTAGCCTTCTCCATCATTAGAGGCTTCAATTATGAGCTTTTATAGTTTCTGAAATATCTTTTGATTTTGGAATTTCTTTTCAAAATTTAGTCTCTAAATGTAATCTTTTGCTTACACAATGAGTTATAGTGTTTGACTGCAGTATACACAGCTTACCAAAGAAAAAAAAATGAACACGTATCATTTTGATTTTACATGTGCATAAAATTATTTGCAGGATTGCGACTGTAAAGCAAAAATACAGGTTGAAAATGTGAGGGGTTCATTTACTTTTGCACATCTTAATTTTTAATTAATATTTTATTACACTTTGATAAAAAATTTGAAAGTGGTTGTAATTCGTTTAATAAAGGTTTCTCTTAACGAATATATAATTTCATTAAGATTTGTTGATTATCTGCAAAAAAGAGATACTTTTTTGTAATATTATCTTAGGGGTTTACTTATTTTTGCGCAGCTTTGTATATGTAAGTTTGCTTTATTATCTATCTCAGTCTTTTCATATCTATCTATCTATCTATCTATCTATCTATCTATCTATCTATCTATCTATCTATCTATCTGTCTGTCTGTCTCAGTCTTTTCATATCTATCTATCTATCTATCTATCTATCTATCTATCTATCTATCTATCTATCTCAGTCTTTTCATATCTATCTATCGATCTATCTATCTCAGTCTTTTCATATCTATCTATCGATCTATCTATCTGTCTCAGTCTTTTCATATCTATCTATCTATCTATCTATCTATCTATCTATCTATCTATCTATCTATCTATCTGTCTGTCTCAGTCTTTTCATATCTATCTATCTATCTATCTATCTATCTATCTATCTATCTCATCTTTTCTATCTATCTATCTATCTATCTATCTCAGTCTTTTCCCATCTATCTATCTATCTATCTGTCTCAGTCTTTCTATCTATCTATCTATCTATCTATCATCTATCTATCTATCATCTATCTATCTATCTATCTATCTATCTCAGTCTTTTCATATCTATCTATCTATCGATCTATCTATCTGTCTCAGTCATTTCATATCTATCTATCTATCTATCTATCTATCTATCTATCTATCTATCTATCTATCTATCTCAGTCTTTTCATATCTATCTATCTATCTATCTATCTATCTATCTATCTATCTATCTATCTATCTATGTGAACGAAGCTGGTTCAATATACGGTGATATTTGTCTGGAATTTTGAATTTAATCTTGAAGTTTGAGTTTTTGTTCTTCCAGACTGGTTGCCGATCGCGGAGAGGGAGTTTTGTCTACCCCGCTGTTTAACCCATAGTTTTAGGAAGGTAGATTCACATCTCTCCCATTGGCATTAGCGCGAAATGAACGAAACATTTTCTCCTTTCTCTTTAGAATTGCCATTAATTGATTCATCTGTTTTCTCTGCTTCCATCAAAACTTTCACAGAGTTTTGCATTTGTAATTCTTCTTACTTATCCAATAACAACATCAACCTACACAGAAAGCAAAGATGTCATAGAATTTTTATTTTTGGAAGGAAAGAGTGCTGATATATATATATATATATATATGTATGTATGTATATTTAGGCAGCATATTTTCATTCAAGCAGGTTTCGTTAAATAATTTAACAAAATTTATTTATTTAATTATTTTATTCTTAATCCTTTCAAGACCACAAATTAATTTCTTGGTGGATGTAGAAAACTGATTAAGAAAATTCCAAAATTTTCTTTCAAATTATTTTTATTTTCCCCCAAGTACTTTCAATCTCAGACCATTTTTAGGGGATTAAAATATCTGTGGATGTGAATACAGTAGCTCCGTAAATTCAAAATATTTTTTCACTGTCTGTTTGCTTTTACAAACAATTGGCCGAAATTCTCTTATATAACGGGCTTCCAGAATTTTAAGTTTTTGTCTATAATAATTATTTTGATGAAATACTAATGTATTTAACCAAAGCTGCTTGAATATATATATATATATATATATATATATATATATATATATATATATATATATATATATATATATATATAGTGAGAGAGACAGACATACAGGCAGATAGACAGAGAGAGAGAGAGAGAGAGAGAGAGAGAGAGAGAGAGAGAGAAAGAGAGATAGAGAGAGGGAAAGAAGATTGATTTGAAAGGACCGACAAGATCTGTTTAATCTTTATTGTATTTTCTCAATTTTTGAACAGAGGGTGTAGAGTATTGGGATAAAAAAAATGTGGCCATTTCAAGTTCATCTGTTATTGTTTTGTTCAAGTGTATCGACCGTCTCACTCATTTGCAAGAACCAACGTGGTGACTATTTGGTAGGCAGAATTACTTTGTCTACGCCCTGGTATTCTTTGGAAAGCTGAAAGTTTGAAATAGTCTACGGTAACTCCATTTCTAACGGTTATTAGGAGCGAGGACGCACCAAAAATAAATATATATATATATATATATATATATATATATATATATATATATATATATATATATATATTTAACACTTTGATCTATGCGTTCCTGCTTGAGCTCCTGAGTCAAAATTCGCAAATAATTGCTATGTAATGTTTCACGGTAGATATAAAAATAGTTTCAAGTGTTTACCCATTGTTAAACCGGTGACTGGACATTACGTCATTTTTCACTACCACCGCTAAACCGGTGGATTGGTCTGAAAGGGTTAAAGACATTTTTACGTCATAATGAGGCAGACTGGATTTTTTTAACATTCAAATAGTCTCCACCCCTCTTTACGATTTACGATGAAGGTGGAGAATAACAATATTATGTTACTTTTCCTGGACGTGTCGTTTGAGAGATCTCCTACTTCATTTCTTACCAGCTTTGATAGCAAAGCCCATTTTTACTGGGCTGTATGTCAGTTGGGACTCTTTTGCTCCTAAGTCTAGAAAAATTAACCCTTTCAAAACACTTATTTTCTAAGCGTAGCTTAGATGTGACATAAGGCCGAAATTATGGGGCGCCTAGTGAGGATCACTCCCGCCTAAATGCACCCCCGCCTAAATGCAGCTAATGCACCCCACCTAAATGCAGCTAATGCACCCCTCCTAAATGCAGTAAATGCACCCCGCCTAAATGCAGCTAATGCACCCCCGCCTAAATGCAGTAAATGCACCCCCGCCTAAATGAAAAAAAGACACATTTATACCGAATAGGTATCGCAAATTTAACAATTGGCATCTTTCTTATCTTTTTAGAATCCTAAATTCAAAAAGATGTCTGAATTGTAAAGTTTATTGCACCAGCGTAAATAGTCAATGTTTGATTTCAGATGGTGGGCGCAATACAATCTTCTTGTAACTTTAGACTAAGCTTAAGAAATATCTAAATCTGAAGTGGTCATTGATGTCAGAGGATGAGAAAGATTTAAAATTTAATAATCTTTCACAATTTGGGACAATCGGTTTGCCATTCTTCTTGTGGATATGAGAGTGAAGTTGGATTGGATGATATCTGCTTGATTTTAATAAACCA